GTACGTACGTAGTACGACGTAGTAACGTTAGGTACGGTAGTAGTAGTAGGTAGGGTAGGTACGGTAAGTACTATTAGTAGGTACGTAGTAGGTAGTATTTACTTATATATATATATATATATATATATATATATAGGTGTAATTTGCATAAAGTTGCATCCTTAAACAATCAAAGCAAGGTGCACCACCAAAATTTACCATAAGATGTAATTTTGGTAAAAAATTCTCAGAATGGCATGTGAATCCATTTTCATCTCTAATTATAAAATTTAGACTCCAAAAATAGTTCAAATCAAGTACATCTATATACACATGAAAATCTTGAAAATGGACGGTCTAGACAATATGTTGCAAGATGCACTACTTTTGGGACTTGAAATCCTTTTTTTTTTTCATATTCATAGATCTCGATATCGTGATGATCAATTAAAGGGTTTTTCCAACTTCACAACAGCCTTTAGATCTCGATATCATGATGATCAATTAAAGGGTTTTTCCAACTTCATAACAGCCTTTTACAATGGATTTTTTTAGATGCACCTTAATTCTACATTTTAAGGTTGCAACCTTATGTAACTTTTTCCATATATATACATATATGCGCACACACACACACACATTCCAACTCCAGGATTTTATGTTCAAAATTAGGTCACAACATATATAGTCAGAAACTGAAACACTCCAAGTCCAAGTCCTTCATGTCAAAATATATGTATCATACCCAGTAAGATCCTACAGACCCAATCTTTTGAAAAAAAATGAGCATTATGGAACATAACCAAGAGGGACAAAGAAATAAAAGAATCCATAAAAAAAGAAAAGACATAAGAAAGCTGTGAAGTTGTAAGTTAATCCAGGGATTCTTTTTTATCTGATTGCTCGTGTGCAGATAAAATAGCTTCTAACCTGTAAGGAATATGACCAGAATGCTCCACAAGGGCATTGATAACACGACCAAGCGTAAGTAAGCTTTTATTGATCTCTCCAGCCTCCCTTGCTCTTCCCTGCAGGTGAATATTCCCTTTATATACACAACAATACCACTTGTGACAGTGCTTTTCTCTCTAAACACCAAGAGTTGGAATGGTTCACAGTAACTATAAATAAGATACCTCTCTAGCACCCGAACGGGATATGTTCTCAGAACCAGCAAGATCCACAAGGTTAAGCTTTCCACACTTGATTAGCTCTTCACCCTCAGGAGTGCATTCCTTGATATGAATGGTGATTGAGAATATAGAGTGGGAGCGGCTGTGGATAAAAATACAGTAGATGAGAAAGAATTAGACACAAGTTCAGAAGTACCCTTCAAGGAAAAGCACAAATAGAAACAAATGGGCACCTGCTCTGTTTGTTCAGAAGGGTTTCAGCTGTACGCCTCTTGGAAGACCCTTTCTCCAAGATTTTATATATCTCATTAGCAGTGCAAACTATTTCTTCCTCTAAGCCCCTCACAAAGACTCCACCTTTGCCATCTTCCATGAGAGCTATTGGTTTCTTTGACTTATCATCTATAAACTTTGAATAATCATCTGGGGCCAACAGATCAGTTATTTCCTCATTGTAAAGCTCAAGAAATGTAACTTTCATGTTGTACTCAGCATTTTGTGCTTCCAATATATCAAAAATTTCCCTCACAGCTCTGGGGATAACACCTGCATCACTTGGGAATTCTCCATTCTTCAAATAGCCAAATGGGAGCCAAGAGCAAAGCAGAAAACTCAGAATTTAATTAAAAACTTCAATAAATTAGGCTTCAAGCTGTGATCAAAATAAAACTCATGGCCCAAATTGAAATTCAGTACTCAAAAGTTTCAATCTTCCAGACCAAAAACAAATGGACATTGGCAAAAATCAGAAACAGGCCCTTTGTGATGTTGAGAAAATTAAGCTAAGCTTGTAACTATTTCTACAAAGAGTACAATGGCGGGTCTTGGCAAAAACTTAGCAACTCACCTTGGCTTTCTTCCCACCTCCTTCCATAGTGTATGTTTTCCCAGTGCCTGTCTGACCATAGGCAAAAATTGTACAATTATAGCCTTCGAGAACCTCATTCACTATAGGAGAAACTGCTTGATCATACAAATCCTTTTGTTGTGAATTTGGACCAAAGACCTGCAGTAATGAACACAACAATTACTGCAAAAGTTGACCACAAACATAATTACTATATAAACACAAGATATATACAAAGCTCTTAAAAACGCCTATAGGGTAGTTTGAACAGTGTTTCGCCCCGCCATGCACACGATATGTCTGTGGCGGTTTATTGAACGGAGCCGTAATGGACGGCGCGTGGTCCGTGGCGGTTTCCGCGTGTTTCCACGGACATGCTATGTCCGAGATGGGGTATTGCCACGGACATGCTATGTCTGTGATAGGGTACCGCCACGGACATGCTGGGTCTATGGCAGTCTTTAATCCTCGCCGTCTCAGTTTTTTGGACGGCACCGAGCCTATGGGTAAAAACACTTGTTCATTTTGCCCATAAGCGTTCCGTAGTGACTTCCTAAAAAACTCCTATAGGTGAAATGCTATAGTGTTTTGCCCCCACCACAGACTTGCTATGTCCGTAGCAGTTTATTGAACGGACCGCCACAGACTTGCTATGTCCGTGTCGGTTAATGGAATGGACCCGCTATGTC